GAGTTGACTTGCAAATATTCCAAAAAGCTTAATTTGCGTCGATTTGCGTTGATTTGATTTGCGTTAATTTGACTATATTTGAGTTGTTGAGAGCGCTGGGGACGTCAGTGTCAGACTTCAAAGGTTAAAGTTGAGACAATTGACTTACACCAGCGTTGGCACCGCACACGTCGGTGCGGATGTAGGACGGGCCGGACGTGCAGCGGAGGGCGTAGGTTGTTTGGTCAACGCACGCGTCGATGATGGAGGCGGCGTACTTCATCGATCGTGACTCGCCGTCAATGAACATGTTGACTGTCGGGACGCTGGAGTCATTTCTTGCGACGACGAGTCTAGGGAATTGATCACGCGCAGCGACTGGCCTGGTTGCTTGGAAGGCATCAAGGAAATCGGTGTTCCCACCAGCGGCGGCGGCGAGGTGGAAGGCCATAGCGATAGTTTAGTTTGTCTTGGTCGCTGTAGGGAGATGTATGGACAGATGATGTGGATGGATGGGTGTCCAGACAGTTCATGATTGCTCCGTCATAGCGCAGTCGGTTTCATATATTCATGGACCTGACTCACTGCCCGAAATGAGCATCAGGCACCGGAGATGAATCTGCCTTCATCAGGTGGAGGAGGATCACGCTAACACAAGATCCGTGCCTCTAACCGATATGGGTAGGTGAGGTACTCCATCAAAGGTTTCAATGATTGTGGGATTTAGCCGCTTGCGCCCTGGGGAGAGCCCTACGGAGTACCATGTAGAGTTGCATTCAAATTAGACACTGCGGAGCCTCGCCGCACCAGCCAGGCTGTGAGTGAGAATTAGGCGTGGCTATAGAGCACCCCATACTTTCCCAAAGGGGACTAGCCCGCCACATTTCCACAAGCACACAGTCAATGCACAGTATCCGGCACAGTTAGCGCCTGCCCACATTTTGTGCGCGACTTCCACAACACCACAACTCCGGCCCAGATCTCCTCTGCACAACAGTAACGCTACAGTTCAGTAGAGGTACGATTTCGACCCCGTGTAAGCGCTCAATCTAACAATGAATGTCCTCGCAGATACCCGAACCATGGAACACCCGATCCTACGCCCTTGTGGCCCCTGTTGGGCAGCCAACAGTTACATGCTCAAGTAAGCTTAGATCAACCAAATGGTATTGAACAGATTGAGGTATGAAACGAAGCTTGAATTGGAGTCACGATTCCAGAGTGACCACACAAAATGAAGGATCAAGATAGTGGGTTAGGGAGCCTCAGAATGTCCCTTTCTTGTTGGAACTGAAAATTGTCCTCTCTAATCCTCCCAGGGGAATTACCCCCCTTATATAGAGACAGTGTGCTATGATATGGCGTTTATGGCAGGAACTGCGTCATTGTGATGGATCTGTGTTGACTGAGAGTCTCGCATTGAACATCAGTGCTCAGTCCGTGAATCTTGGTGCCAAGTGTCACAAATGAACCAACGAGAGTCAACAACGGCGGCTTACTTGGCAGAAGCCAGTGGGGAACATAGGACGTTCCGAGCCAATCACTTAGGACCAATCGGAACGAGTACTAGAGGTGCTCCAGAGAGCTCTCAGGAGCATGAGAGAGCACCAGTGCAAGGCCAATCAGAGGACGCTCTAAGAGGCTCTCGAGAGCACCATAGAGCATTGGCTCTAGGTGGCTCTAGAGAGCACGAGAGAGCAACCAAATGCATCTAGTATATAGTCACTCGTTCTGGAGGACTCTGGGAGTTCTCCAGTAAGCAACTCAAGTGCAAGATTGTCAGTACCCTTGGACATTGCTTGTTGTGAACCCTTTGGCTTCACCGAACCTCACCCCGTTGTCAAGTATAACCTTCAGGAGTCCCTTTCAGAAGTTGGGGCTTTGAGATTCGTCACACCAAGGAACCCACTCAGTTCATCACGGGCCAAGCCCGTTACAGTGAGCGGCTCACCAGGATCACCGTCAAGAAGGTGATCGCAGTGATCGCAGGTACGGAGGTCCCTGGGGGAGGAAGCTGTATATAGTCTACGATCTTTAGGCCTACGGGTGTCACGGCGATTGCGCCGTGCCTGCTAGGACCCACGGGTGGAACCCGGCATGTGGAAAGCACGGGCCCCTGTGGGTTAAATATTCTGCACCTCGCTGCCGCGAGATCTGTTCGTAGCTCCTCGAGCTACGTCTTGACAATCAAGCCTGCCCGTACCTGACGGAATAGAGCTTAGACTGTAGTTTAGCCCGAATACAATTGTCATTGGATTGTCCGCCTGTCCCGCCGTGACAACGGGCATCACTGCAGCTTCCTCAGTAAGCAACTCAAGTGCAAGATTGTCAGTACCTTTGGACATTGCTTGTTGTGAACCCTTTGGCTTCACCGAACCTCACCCCGTTGTCAAAGCTTTAACCTTCAGGAGTCCCTTTCAGAAAGTTGGGTCTTGAGATTCGTCACAGACCACCTTCGGCAACCACCTCCGGGAAGCAGAACATGATGCGATAGTTAGGTACAAATACTAGGATGAGTCATGGACGGGCATCTTACCGATACATAGGTCGAGCTCACGCGCTTTCAGTTCTCGTTCTACCTTCCTGCTTTAGCAAAGAGTAGCATTGCTCAATATTGACTTGACTGCCTACCTCTATATCTTTGCTACTCTCACCCTTTGGCAGGTTGCAGACTTGATGGATACCAATGAATATGAAGATCCCTCTCCTTGCCACCCTCATCTATGGCTGCGCTTGTGGCGCCGACCCTACTGCCGACCCAAGTCCAGACCCCTCCTTCAAACCCCTGGGAATCTGTCCCTCTCACACCTGTACGTCCTTTTTCAACAAGGAAGTTTGGGTCAATATAAAATGACATTCCAGTTACATATAACTAGTGGTTAGGACCTGTAACCCTTTCCGCTATATCTCGATTCCTGGTGCAGCTCAATGCATCAATAAAGGTTTAGTGGACCAGAATATAGTCGAGATCCTAGCGTGTGAGGTATACGACAAGAATGTAGTAGGTCTCCATATCGTCCACAATGTTATCATTCCTTTAGCTTGAACCTATACCAGCTGGGTCTGCGCCTGTGCTGGTTATTTCCCTGGTCTTGGCGACATCATTAAACGCCGCTGGTGTCTGTGAAACAAGCAGTATGGCTCTCCGCAAACCTCGTTGGAGGAAGCCCTGCATGTGTCTCCCGAAGACAGACCCTGCAATGGCCTTTAGCATCACTCGGAACACGAGGACAGAACTGTTGCCCGAAGCAAGTCTCTCGGCCTCACAGACGCTTCTGGCCACATGCAATGTATCATTTGGCCTCACCCGGTTCACAGAGCTTAGCGTCGAATATACGGTTGGGATTTGGAGTATCAGTGCACATCGGATTGCGGATGGTGAGGATTTCCATCCTGAGGGGTTGACATCTCATGTCCGGTGACTTCCTCGCACGGTGTCCAAGTGGTTATTGGGTAGGAAGCCAGGAGCAAACGAAGCTGCTGACTCCTGACCTCATACAAACTGTCAACCTCCATGTGGTGGTCTAGAAAGGTGCCGCTGATTGCGTTTCCATTCAAGTTCGCAGACGAGCACCCCAGTCAACCTAGGAACGATATGCCCAGGTTCTGCGAGAAGCTCTGTTGAGCCAGTTCACATTTCAGTTTTCAACCCGGGTAAGATTACCAGCTGAGGCTTTTCGGCAAGTCCCCGTAGACAAGAACCATGAAACCGAAAGCCGTGGCAAATGAGCGTGAAGCGCCAAATAGGACGCGTCCATCGACTGCTAGTCTTGACCGGAGCTTTAACGAGGTGAAGGGGACGTTCCTCAAGCCAGACTTTCAAGCCGACTTCTGTCTCCGTCCCTGAGAGGGCTTGATCAACGACCGTGTGGCAGTAGGATGTCGCGCTGATCGCATCGGTGCTGGTGTCAATTTCAACGAGCTACAAGCGAGTTCAACCATTCGCCACGAGTCCAGAGATCAGGGCGATACAGCCAGAAGCGGCGAGGCCGGCGAGGCCGGCGACGATAAACAAACAGACACCGTCGGCAAGAAAACGAACAGCAAGCAGTATCTTCCCCCGCACAGGATTTCGTCGCGAACTGGTGGCCCAAGCCTGCGAACTACCCAAACTCCACAACCCTTCGATACGGTTACGATACTCTTTCGGCGAAGTGTTGACTTCGAGGCGATACTCCACGAGGTGAAAACTAAGGTAAGCCTATACCCCCCAGCCCTCAACGCTCTCCGCCAAGTTCTGTGTGTACCTTAAGTTTCCAGCGCTACGATTTGTTTTAAATCGTCGCGAATGGGATAGATTGCACGGGAAGAGCCTGACCGACGTTTCGGACACTCAGTGCCTATTAATAATCCTTTCGCGAGATGCTCCGCCTCGGCTTCAAGGACGTATAAACAGCACACGCCGGATGATGGACACGATAAGGCGCCGCACAAGCCGTCTTTAAACTTCAATCAGCGCCAGTCGTCAGCGACATTCGGGAATTGGAGCATGAGGGTCGGCTCACCGCTTTGTCAGAACGATGTAGCGGAGCTCAGATGTCAGGTGGCGCGTGGACTACGAGACAAAGCAACAAGAGTCCTGTCGGTAGTCCGCACGTGGCAACGAGGTTTCGTCTGAACTTACATCATCAATGACCTTCGGAACTTGAGCATCCCCGTGCCATATGCAAAACCATGCCCCAATAACGGATTGATGAATAACGTAAGGTACTTTGACGCACGCATGTTCCGCGCAAGTTCTCAAACTGGTCACTGGTCATGAGCCCCGTAAGTGTTGGCTTGATACTGGTGCTCGTAATCTCGTTAGGATGTTCAGAGATTCAGTAAGAGCTCGCGGAGCATCTATGGGCTAAGCTCTGAAGTCGCGCACTCACTTCAGAGCGACAAAAGTGAAACGCTACATGCTCAACGGGCAACAACGGCCTTTGCCGAAGACATTGCACCGAAACAAGCAGAGCAGCTGCCCGGGGCTGCACGGGAAGGGAGCCAGCCATTGACCAATTGCAGCTTAGTCCCGCTCCCCAGCCGAGATTGGCTTAGCGCTGGGCGCCGTTGTTCCTTCCTGCTCCATTTCCCCATGGGGGGAGTGGAGATGATACTGGCCTTGGCCTCCGGAGGCACGCGAGTCCATTCCTCGAACCACGCGGGCTGGCCGGCTTCTTTAAAAATGGCCTCTTTGACCGAATGAAGAGCTGGAAGTTGGCTATTTGAAGTGGCTGGTTCACTCAGCCCGTTGTCGCAAATTGAGAACGCTGTCAACTGCACGGTTTCCAGGCGAGCCATCTACGTGCCCGTGAAAACGCCCTCGCAGCTTCCCCCTCCAGCTCTGCCGCACGGCTCTTGCCGGAAGAAACAAGTCACTTACGGCTCTGCCTGCGATTGGCCAGAAAGACAGCCCTCTCCTGCCGTTTCCATTCATGTTGTGACACCCCGATGCCTGAGGAACCAGTCCCCGCACGCCTGACTGCCACCCCCTCTCGCTTCCGCTCTCTCTTTCTCCCTTCCATACTTAACCTGCTTCATCCAACACCGATTCACCACTCCCATCCTCTCCATCAATCAACTCCATCAAAAATTCAGCGAAAATGCTCGCCTCAAGCAGGTTGACCGGCGCCGTCGCCCGTATGGGCCTGAAGCAGCCCTACCGTTTGATGTCAACGGCACAGGGACAGGGTACGATCTCCACCCGGTGGGCCAGCTGTCAGCTCCACCGATCCCCAGAATGCGCGATTAACCAGCTCCGTCCCAACTCTAGCTCGCCTCTCAAGCTCCATCGTCTCCACTGCTCGCCAGCAGGCGACCGGCCGTCACGGCCTGCTTCTCAATGGCGGTCGCAACACGTTCACTTCCACCATGATCCGCGGCGCGATGCAATCCCGCGGCGTCGTCGTCGAGTCCACGGCCGCTGCGCTCATCACGGCTGCCAAGGTGCACGGTGCGGGTGCGGCCACAATTGGCCTCGCGGGCGCTGGTGTCGGCATTGGCACTGTCTTTGGCGCGCTCATTCAAGGCGTCGCTCGCAATCCTTCGATGAGAGGTAAGAATCGCAGTCACGGCTGATGAAATACACTGAGCAAATGAGCTGACAGCTTTCGTCAATTGCAGGCCAGCTCTTCTCATACGCCGTCCTGGGCTTTGCCTTCGCCGAAGCCACCGGCCTCTTCGCCCTCATGGTTGCTTTCCTCCTTCTCTACGCCTACTAGATTCGCATCCAGGCAGCTTGTGGATCGTGCAATCGTGCATCGCATTTGTGCGTTGGGACCACGACACAGATTGACGAAGATGGACCCTCGGGCTGGTGGAGATAAGACCCTGACCCAGGCGAGCGGGCCGCCGCCTTAGCGCTGGTGTCCACATGCTTTCGGGGGATCCGGCACCACATCCAGAGCTCACACATTCTCGGTGGACCATGTTCTGTTGGAAGCAATAGAGACGGATGGGCATGTAGCATATCTCGAAGACGATACAGGCGGCGTGTAATTAAGAGAGGAATTGGCTGCGCAGTTTTCTCACTCTAACTTTCTTTTCATGCTTTGTGCGATGCTAACAATTGCTAAGATTCCATTTTCCAATTGAACCAGGCAGGGTCTTGGCCCAGGGCATCTTTTACTGCTCTCAGATCAGAATGTCAAATCCTCCTTCCCCCCAACTTACCCTCATACACCGAGGCCCATCGTACCACCACATCTCCCATCGCCGTCTCCTCACCAGCTCCCCGTCGTCAGTGCGAACTGGGCGTTGATTGCCCCTCTAACTAAGCCCACGGATGAGAGCAGGGGCAAGGCTACCAGGACACTCCAGCTCGGTAACACAGTAATACCTCGATTGATCCAAATACCAGCCAAAGTCCAGGCGCTGCCGTCTTGCCCCTTTGAAGCGGATCTGCGGGTTCTGGCCGGGGAACCGGGTGTTCCAGCTGCCGTGTTCCGAGGCCGACACGAACTTGAGCTCGCCGTTCTGCACCCACACAGCGATGTGCTCCCAGTTGTGGCGGTGCCCGTCCGTGCCGAAATCGGATTCGAAGTAGTAGTCGTACATGTGTGAGGGGACAAGAGCATACCACTTGGGACGGACGTAGATGTTGGTTTTCGACAGCCGGCTCTCTGCACGGCAGAAACACAGGATGGTGCTCTGCCCTTTGCCGGGGTCTGTCCGGCGTTCACTTGGCCGCTGGGTGAGATGGCCACAGTGGTGTAACCGCTGTCGGTGTCGTAGTCCAGGGCCGGGTCACCATTTCTCCTGCTTTGACCATGCGCTCGCCGGGATTCGGTTGGGCAGGTCCCTAGCCTCGATGGCGACGGGGCTTGTTGCGACGGTCGGGAGAGACCAGAGGGAGGCTGACGCCGCGGCGAAGAGGGTCTTGAAGGGTGACATGGCGCTGATGATGCCAGCTCGAAGGCGGCTGAGAATGGCTTCACAGGAGGAGAGGCAGAGGTGATTTTGGGCTCTTTTTAGCGCAGGTATCCGGAGCCAGCATGGCGTCCTCTTCCGTGCCATCAAAGCTCTTTGCGAGTACGCGGACCAGCTTTTGGAGTCGAACCGAGCTCGTACGCGTTCAGTGAGCGTCAAGTCTACGCGAGACTGGGCTGAGTAAGTTGACGGCTTTACCGAGCCCATTGCTTCTGCCTGGGAGGTTGTAGCCTCTAGGGCCAAGCACCTCAATAGTCGCTTGCCTGCTCGCTTTTGTCTTTTGACAACATTAAGCGAGGTACAGCTCCACTATGAGCGGTTGACCATCCAGGTCCCGCCCCACACCAAATTCCCAATCGGCTAAAACCTTTTCCGTGGGGCCGCGACGAATTAGCTCGCCGGGGGTGTGAAGAGCCGCTCCAGCTCCCTGCGGTCAGGGTCAGGTGGTTAGGGTTTATGTTAATGGTTAGGTTTCCGCGTTTGGGATAGAATTAGGTTCAGATTCAGAGAATAAAATATGATGGTAAATTTAAGTAGTTTTAATGCGTTGAAGTTAGTGAATTTGAGAGCAATGCAATTACGTGTAGGGGCGTCGTCGTCCCACTCAACCCGTGGCGATGACCCTTGACGATGTCTACACTTATAGCATGGTAGATGTAGTGGGGTTGACCTGACATTTGAGCATGACAGAAGCCCAAATGCGAACTAATCCGATGCCCCGCTCCATATCTCACCCAGCTTCACGCCTCCACCATGGCGGAAATCGGGTCAAGATCAGCGGCATCTCCGTCCGTGTCGGCATCGGCTTCATCAGCGTTCACGTCCACTATTCTGACTTCGGTGGAATCGACGCAAGACGGCAATCCCCCAACCACGCAATTCACCAGTATCCAAAATATCTTCAACGTGATCAACAGTACTACTGGAGATTTTCTTGTGGTCACAAGTATGATATTCCCCTCTTGTTCCTATATACCTAACTGGTAGACTAATCATTATTCAGACGTCTCCCCTAACTTCTTCACCGAAATCGAGTGTGAGCGAGACAAGCGACGTCGCAAGTTCCGTTTCCGCCACTACGAAAGCGATCGCCAGATCCTTTTCATCACAATCCCAACCTTCTTGCATGAACAACTCCATATCGGGCTTTACCAAGGCTATTATAACAAGCTTGTCAGAAGTGGTAGAGAAAACAGTTGGATAACCGTCGGTACTGCCACATGTAGAGCACAAAAGGTCACCCAGGAGGAGATGGTGGGGAGGGTGACTCTACCGGCGGTCCAGACCCAGAACGTGGTACGAAAGGATTCTGGCCGACACTTATGATCGAGGAAGGAGACTCGGAGTTGTTAAGCGAGCTCCGTAACGATATGCGCTGGTAGTTTTTCACCTCAGAGCATCAAGTCAAAATCGTTTTGCTCGCCAAATTCGAACACACACGCCGAGCCCTCATTTTGGAGAAGTGGGAAGAAGAACCCAGCATAACTCGCCCAGGAGCAACGACAACACGACACGCCGCTGCCCTGCAGCCAATGCTCCGACAGACTATCACGATCACCGAAGACACCACGACCAACCCAGTCACATATAACGTCGCTAGCGGCGCGTTGGTATTGGGATTCAAGCTCCTATTTGTTCGAGGTTCAGGACCTGGAGAGGAAGACTTTGTCTTGAGCGTTCAAGAACTACAGGCTTACGCGGAGCGGGTTTGGAGGATGCTGTAAGATTAGTTAGCAGCCGATCAGAATTGGCATACCACAGTAGTCGAACCCAACGCAGACATTACCTACTCCCGCGGCAACTCATTTTGTGGACATCTGCAAGAAGCCGGAGATGGACAAGGCATATTCAAGCACCTTAGGCTACGGCAGCCAGAATGAAGGTGACTATGCCTTTCCAAAAGCCCAGAAGCATAGAGGGCAGCTTCCACTCAGTCTTAGGTGTTGGTTTAAGTCAATCCACTTGCAGTGTTACTTATAGTAGTAGTCGTCAAGTGACTTAACCAAGATAACACTATTCTTTTTCATCTTTACTACCACACCTCAGTTAGCCGAGTTTTGCTTCAGATCGCCTCAACAGCTCTCCACTTCTCTTTGTTTCTCACACGCGCTCGTGTCAACTTGAACCCAGATATCGCCCAAGCAATGGAACCTACCATCCGGCTCCGCCCCCATTCTCGCGCCGCATGTTTCAAATTGTCGTTCAATTCCCTTCGAGGCGGAAGTCGTCGTGGAAAATGGGAACCAACAGCACAGATGGATGGACCCTTTCGTGCGCCTGTGTCCGCCCCTGGCGGGAGCTGCTAGATAACCGTGTTGCAGAACGTCTGATGTGGTTGGTGCTGCCGTGGTAGGGGGCCCACGGTTGCATTGGGAGCGGTTCAAGTTGGCTTCCATTTGTCATGAAATCACAGGGACAACAACGTCTAGGTTGTATTCTGCGAGGCCTACGCTTGCTTGAAAGTGGAAGCTACAGGGCGCCTCCCCAGACAGCATGCTTTTTGAGGGACACGTCTGTCCTTGGATGCAAAAGGGAGGCTCTCATCTGCATTGTCAACCACGGGCAATCGGCCAAGGATTCCAGACGAGACCGGCAGTAGCTTTTAAACGTTAAAAGGATTTACAATTAAAGTTACCTAAGGCAGGTTAAGTTGACATTCTAAATGGAGATGGCGCGCGACCTGTGGCCATGCGAGTTCCGTATGGCGAAGACGACCGGCATCCAGCTGTCGGGCGTACGTCTCGTTGCGTGGGAAGACTACACAGTAGGTCGACTTCTGCCACTGCAGTACTGGCGGTGAAATCTCCTGAAGCATGCTAACATTTCTGGAGGCCGCTGACTAAGGTACTGTAGGCTGGCTGATCGGGTGTCTCACAGGGGAATCAGTCGCCGGCTTTCTCCACAAGATAGGGATCCATGCGTAACTGCCGGTTCTCCACTCCAACGGCGATCTCCTCTGTCTGGTACGGAATACGAATTACAGGGGCTAAAATGCGGGGATGGCCAGACAGGGAAGGTAGGCCGTCTCAGAAGGTGGTCAATTGGTGGAAGGGATGCGCGAGACCCCTGACTCAACCAGGATATCACGCTCGACGTTGTCATTAAGGTGCAATCAGAAGCTTTGTGCTCGATCGCCACGACATTCGGCTCTAAACATGACCGAAGGGCCGAGGAAGCACCGATGTGCTCGGGTGAACATTGACATCAGATGATCAGAGAAGCAACATGCCAACACCGCAAGTTGATATACAAGGACTTGCCCCATCCCCGTGAAATAGTGCAGTTCCGTCCGACAACTTCGACTTGAAATTAGAATGCCGAACGAGTTCTGGAAGAGGCGTTCGCTGCGAGTGCGTGACAACCAGCGAACTAAGGCCGCCGAGCTGACGCTGCGCGAGTCATTGTATCCCCTTTGCTTGGTCACCATCCTCTTCTTCCTCTGGGGATTTAGCTATGGACTGCTGGACACGCTCAACAAGCATTTCCAGAACACGTTGGATATCACCAGGGCCCGATCGTCTGGGCTGCAGGTAGCCTACTTTGGGTGAGCCGTCAATTAAGTAATGCTTGGGGGTCTTCTACTGACCTTGTAGGGCATACCCCTTCGCCTCGCTCGGGCACGCAGCATGGATGCTGCGGCACTTTGGCTACCGCGCCGTCTTCATCTGGGGCCTGTTTCTGTATGGCCTTGGGGCACTGCTCGCCATCCCGGCCATCATCCACCATTCCTTCGCCGGCTTCTGCGTTTGCATCTTTGTCATTGGCAATGGCCTCGGCTCGCTCGAGACAGCCGCCAACCCCTACATCACCGGCACGTCCCCGTTTTCTTTCCCGATTTTCACCCTGCCAATACCATCTAACATGAATACTCACCAAAACAGTCTGCGGACCCCCAAAGTACTCTGAAATTCGCATCAACGTAGCCCAGGCTTTCAACGGAATCGGCACTGTCATTGCCCCTGTCCTCGGCTCTTACGTCTTCTTCAACTTTGACGAGCTCACCGCCCTCCGCAACGTGCAGTGGGTGTACCTGGCCATCGCGTGCTTCGTCTTCCTCCTCGGCGCCGTTTTCTACCTGTCGACCATCCCCGAGATCACCGACGCCGACATGGCCTTCCAGGCGGCTGAAACTCACGCGGGCGATGCCCAAAGCTCGGGCAACCTGCCGTTCCGCAAGCAGTACCGCCTCTTCCACGCCGCCTTCGCCCAGTTTTGCTATACGGGTAGCCAGGTCGCCATCGCCAGCTATTTCATTAATTACGTGACCGAGACGAGACCGGGCACCAGCTCGGCGCTGGGGTCGCAGTTCCTGGCCGGCTCGCAGGCCGGGTTTGCCGTGGGGCGGTTCGCCGGCGCAGCCATGATGCACTTTGCCAAGCCGCGCAAGGTATTTTTGGCGTTTTTGACGCTGTGTATCGTCTTTGCGGCGCCGACCATCACGCAGAAAGGGGATACCAGCCTGGCGATGCTGTTTGTGGTGATGTTGTTTGAGTCGATCTGCTTCCCGACCATTGTCGCGCTGGGGATGAGGGGGCTGGGCAGGCATACGAAGCGCGGGTCCGGGTGGATTATTGCAGGTGTGTTTGGCGGTGCGTGTGTGCCGCCCTTGATGGGGGCTGCCGCGGATTTGCATGGAACGGGTTTGGCTATGGTGGTACCACTCTGTTTCTTTGTGGCAGCGTGGACGTATGCGTTGGCCGTCAACTTCTGGCCGTGGTATCGGGATACCGTCGATGCCTTCTCTACGACCGAGGTTGGAGTGCGGGAAAGGCCGGATGGGGTGTTGGAGGATACGGGCGAGAATGGTGCTGGTGGAGGGGAGATATCAGGGAGTGTGGACGAAGAGAAGGCTGGGGTGGTGAGATCGGAGAAAGCTTGACGCGGGAAAGGAAATCTGACCCCCAAAACAAGTCCCAATGAGATATTACCCTGGAATAGCAGGCATGCAGATATGAAAAATCCGGCTGCTTCACGTTGGAGAGAAGATGGTCAAACCCAGCCACTGTTTGGCTGGTTCTCCACCACAGAGCATCGCAACGAAAAAAGCAAGAGAATACTTCGTGATACCCTACTCAAAGTGTCCATGGGTTTTCCGCTACAGAGGATCCAAACGCTCCCCTGATGGCGTCGAAAGAGACGGCCACAGTTCAGGGTCACCTGCCATGTCATAGTGGATGGATACAGGTACGTCTGCGGCCGCCCAATGATCGATTAAGCTACCTATTCCATCCCTCTGCGAATAATTTGCACTGGCTTGCTTTTGAGTCTTCCATTTGAGTCCGGTGTGTTTCTAGAGTCATTCATTGATTCTGATCAATGCAACTTGATGAGGGCGATGGATGATGTCATACTAGCAACAACAGGGCTCTCTGGGAACGACTCACGTCACTATCTGAATCCTTTGCCTGCTTTTACATGATCTGCATCACTGACGCTTTTCAAAGTCAACCAAATCAACACTCACGAGTTCTGATGAACCACTCCAGCTAAACCACCAAACCATCACCACCATCAGTCCTAGTACCATCACACAACTCATCACCAACAACCGAGTACAACACCAGAAATGCAATCCATCCTGCAGTCCACAACCGGTCTCGGGCCCAAGCCCGTCCACCCGGACAACCTCCACGGCCGCGTCGCCGTTGTGGTAGGCGGCGCATTCGGCATCGGCTTCGAGGTGTCGCGCGCGCTCGCCAACGCAGGCTGCCGCGTGCTGATGGTCAACCGCAAGGAGGAGCAAGGCGAGGACGCAAAGGCGACCATCGCGGCCGAGTCGCCCGGCGCGCAGGTCGAGTGGCTCGAGTGCGACATGGGCAATCTCTGGCAGATCCGCGACGTGTTTACCAAGTTGGCACGGGGCTCGGAGGAGGAGGGGGGTCTCGGTAGGCTGGATTATCTGGTGCTTTCGGCGGGTATTAACACGAATGAGTTTGGGCTGGATGCCGATGGGATCGATCGGCATTTTGGCGTGAATTACCTTGGGCAGTTTTACGTCGTCAATCTACTGTGGCCGGTGCTGAGGAAGACGGCCAGGATGGAAGGGGCGCCGAGGCCCCGGGTGGTATTTGAGGCGAGCGAGATGCACCGCACCGCGTCGGGAAATGTGCATTTTGCGAGCCTCGAGGAGATCAATGACGGGAGTCTGGGGCCGACGGAGCGCTATGGCCGGACGAAGCTGGCTATGATCTTATTTTCCAAGTATGGGTTGGCGAGGAAGGTGATCAAGGAGAATGGCGATGATATCATTGCTGTGGCGGTGCATCCTGGGGCCGTAAGAATTTTGCATTTTGCTTCCATTTTCCGTTCTTGGTGGAATAGGTATTGACAATCACAGGTCAACACGGCCATGCAGCAGCAGTGGAAGGACGCGTACCCCGGCGTCACGGGCAAGCTGCTCACCTGGGCGATGCTGGCGTTTGGCCGCGATGTGCAGCAGGGCTCGTACAGCGCGCTTTGGGCGCTCACCTCGGACAAGGTGCAGAGCGGCTGGTACTACAGCGACCCCGACCAGCCCGGCAAGGAGTCGGCGCAGGCCTCGGATGAGAACCTTGGAGAGGCATTGTGGGAGCTATCCCATCGTATCATCAAGGACAAGCTCGGCAAGGACGCGCTGGTGGACTGGAAGACATCCGCATAGATGTGGAGGGAGTTACAAGGGCGTGTTGAACAACCCGAGATCTGCTAAAACTTGGCAATCGGCTTGATCAGCTTGAGCGTTTAAATGTTAGCTAGTAGAACTTGATATCCAAACGCTTGGTCCCTTACCCTCCCATCTTTCATATCGGTGATAGCCTTCTCGATCTCGGTAACAGGATAAACTGGGACTTTCCTTTTCTGTGCAGGTCAATAAGTCGGGGGATGAACTGATGAGGGTCAGAACCGATCTAGAGAAGGGGGTGTAGCTACAACCTCCGGAGGATCAGAGTCACCCTCAGCAATGCTCACCCACGTCTTCTTGCCGGCAAAGAAGGATCCTGAGCCCACGTTGATCATGTCATCTTTGGGCGGAGAGCCCACCGACGCGGCCGTCCCGCTGTAGGCTAGACAATCCAGCATTTGCTCAACAACTGCAGACACTCCAGTCGTATCAACGGCAAAGTCCACTCCCAGACCTCCTGTCGCGTTCTTGACCTCAGCTGCAAGACTCCCTTGAATCATAAAGAGTTGATTGTATGTGTGGCTCCCAACTCCCGTGCCAATGCCAGTTTCTGCTCAACAATGTAATGGCACCAATCTGCCTGATGAGAATGCCCGCGGCGGCCAGAATGGCGGCAAAGCCAACACTTCCCGCTCCAAATACTGCCACCGTCTGGTCCGACCGGGGATTGAGGAAGTTGAGAATGGTCCCGGCGCCTGTCTGATAGCCACCACCCATGGGGGAGTAAATGGCCAAGTCGTCGGGATAGGGGCATTTTGACCACGCAGGTTTCGTGAACCACGGACATGCGTGAGTGGGAGGACTGCCCAAAGAAGTGGCTCCTGACCGGTCGACCGTCTGAGAGCTTGGCAGGGCTGCTTCCGTCTGCACGGCAGATACCACTTAGGTTGAGGGATGGGAACGAGGAACAACTGCTGAACTTGTCGTCTCGACACGAGCCACAGTCCCCGCATGCAGCAAAGGAGAGCAGAGCGTGGTCTCCGACTCGGAGGATATATCCCTGACATCTGAGCCAATGGCGCGGACAACACCAGCGCCCTCATGTCGAGCAATGGCAGGAAAGTCAAGGAATGGAGCAAGACCGCCCTGCTGGAGGAGTAGATCCTACATGTAGAGGCCTTATATTATAGAACGCTTCACTACCCATTGCAAACGATAAGCATATACCGTGTGGCAGACGCCCGAGTACATCATCTCAGCGAGCACTTCATCCGGTTCAGGTCTTGTATGACTATTGGAGTCATTTCAAAACCACCCCTGAGTTATGCACCACAAGGGCCTCGGTCTTGAAAGGAAGTTGCATGGCAATGTCGGGTCAATGCTAATGATCTTTTGGATTGGAGGAGAAATGTGAGGTAGGTGGATGGAGAGAACTCTCGCTGGTTGTCGATGTCCCACTTGGAGAGATCAAGTATCCCCTGACCACCGCACGCTCAGACAGGAAGAAGTTCTCCGTGCAGTTTCCGATCAGCCCTCCTCACAATGATTCCCGCTTCCCCCAGTCTCGGCCAAGACAGCCTATGGTGTTTTGATCACCAGATAATATGGCCCCACAGTGATGTTAAGAGGATCGTGTTATCCCATCACGCCGCGGTTTTGCTCCAAGGTCCCCTGCCAGTTTCATGGATGCTATGCTGCACGAACCCGAGACAAAATCGCCCGTCTCAGCCATATTCTGCCCATTTGTGTTGCTCATTCTACCGGATCTAAGTGGCCTTACGCAAATTGCCCTTGATAGACATGAGAATGCAGGCCCTCGGATACTTTTCTCCGCTTCCCGGCGAAGCCCAGCTCGACCCGCGCTGTAAGCTAGGCCACACCCCTAGCATCCGGAACTGCTCTACCGTAATTTCGGGTTCCTGTTCAGCTGCACGTCGAGAAGAAAGAAAGAACATTACGAAGATCCTAGCTCTAGTACATCAATACCTGCCCAGGCCCGAGCAAGGTCATATTAGAAGGTCAGAGTTGGAAATTTGAACACGCAAGTAGCGGTTGGCAACCCAGCTGTTGCAATCGTTGCATGCATCTGACTTGATCAACGGCCGCGGGCGCCCGTTCTTGACAGGATCTTGACTCTGTGTTGCGATGGGAGCGCCAACCGTATTTAAGTGTAACTTAATGACACTGCAGGCATCCCCGATCCAAGACGACCAGACATGATTTGTTACGCTTTTAGGCTGCTTCCCGACACACGCACAAAACCATTGACGGCCGCTGTCGGTTAAGACATGTCTGTGCTTCGTCGCACCAACATGTCGCCGCCAATGCCGGCAACACGAAAGAGCCGACCAGCATGCCTGAAGAGTGCTTGGCCCGAGGAAACGAACAAATCACCCCCAGGAACCTGTGACGGAACGTAAGTCTTGTTTACTTGCTTCAACTCAGAGAAGTCAGAGGCATTCGACTGAGGTTGTGTTCAAGACAGCTCTAGCACACTACATGTACTCGCCGCCCGGGCCTCCCAGATCCTGCACCAGCTTCACCGCAGAAAAGCCTAAGACGGAGACAAGACGGAGACTACCGTTTCGGCGCCGGTCTCAGTTGAGCCTTCCTCCAACAACGCCCATCGTAGTTCAGTACATGTGCTGCGAACGTCCCCGAGAATACTGTAGTTGAGACAGCCCGGGTGAGCCCAGCCGAGCCCGGACACAGCTCAGGCACCCATGTATGACATGAGACGATGTCCGTTTGTATCCAAAGAGAGGCTTGTACTGCCTGGATGTTGTTGACAGCAGACTACTCGGGCGGATGCCTGTGATAGTCGCATTCCCGGGTTCTCTTTGGTCTGTTAGGTATGCTTCGTGGTATCTATGCGGCCCAGTTCTCTACCTCGACTTTACAGGCCTTCCACAGAGGTACTGTATACAGGGAACACAAACCCAGATTGGGGAGCTTAAATAGGCATATGAACAGACATCCCACAGAATAGCGCGGCGCATAACACAGGGCAAATAGATCTGCATGTGCTCACTCTGCCGTGCGTCACCTGAACGAGGGCTTAATCCAGCAAGTCCTGTACCTTACGATAAACACTCAGCATTGCTCCAGTCATTCAGGTTGCCTCCCTGCACAGCTCATATCTGTCGCAATCATAGCTGAGTTCCAGTTTAGCGGACAAGACCTCCGCAACAGAGAAGCCGCTCACACAGGTCTTGTTCGTATTAGACGGCACTACTTCCTAGTCCGATAGCCATACGCTGCTAGTCACACGTCGGACTTAAACTTAGCAAACCAGTGCTACAGGTTGTGAGAGGTTAGTTCGGAGCCTTGTGACACCGAATTTCAACCGCTGAGCGCTGTGAGGTCGCTTGGGGAGGAGTCAAGAACCTCAGATCCACATCCGAACAGAATCAGGCATGGTTGCTAGCACCGCATTCCAGTCTGCCTCAGTGACATTGGGAGTCCGCTCTGCTGCAATGTGCCGGATAAGGTACCTACGAGAGAGAGAATGAGAGATAGTAAGAAATTGGGGAGAAGATGAAGAAAGCACGACAGAAAAGGAGTGTTAACCACTAATAACCTGAAGATCCGCCGCTGTTGTCTCTAACCCTCTTCACCACCTCCTCCTCACTCTTCTCCACCACAGCGATTCTTAGTTCTCAGCCTAGAGATCAGTCCTTACTTCCATATCTCAAACCACCTCCTTTTACTTCTTCCCAAAGCATCACTGGGTCACCCCGCATGCGCATATATGCATTCACACCCTCAACTCCCGCATGACCTGATGATAACCCTCCAGCACCAGCCTTCCCCTCTCCTCACTCCGCACCTTAATACTAATCCGATACGGCAGCGGCTCCAAGATGACATGGCTGTTGGTCGCCTGCGTGTCGATGGGCACGGCTTGCCCCGTGCGCGGGCAGATCTCGGGGCCGAGGTTAAAGGCCCACAGCGTCGCGGCCGCGAAGACAAACGTCTCGTCGTCGACAATGTTCTGGCCCAGACAGGTGCGCCGGCCCCAGCCGAACGTGTGCATCGAGTGGCCCTCGCGGAAGTTGGGGTATCGGGTCAGCGGCTCCTGGTAGGTTGGCCAGCCCGGCTCGAGCCAGCGCTCGGGCCGGTAGTTGTCGCCGTCGGGGTACTTGGCGGGGACGCGGTTGAGGGCCCTGACGGGAGGGTTAGGTTGGTTTATTATTTTTATTTTTATTATTTTATTTTATTTTTGTTGAGAGAGGGGAAGATGTGAGTGGAGGAGGTACTTACCATTCGCATGCGAGAATGACTGTTCCCTTCTTGATTTTGACACCCCGGTATTCGTCGTCGCACTCGGCTTGGTGGGGGACACCTGCGCGAGTGTTGTCAGTTGAGTTGTGCAACAATCTTGACAACAAACTGGCGCCGAATCACATGAAACTTACCCAGCGGCACACCGGACCTCCACCGAACTGTTTCCTTCAAGCAAGCCCGCACTGTGGGCAGATTCGCAAAGTCCTGAATCGCCGGCATGCGATCCCCGCAAACCTGGTCGATCTCGGCCTGCGCCTTTTTCTGCCACTCCGGGTGCAGCGCCATGGCCATGAGGAAGAACTTGAGCGGTCCGCTGATGGTGACGACGCCGACCAAGTTGAGGAACCCGATCATGCAGCTCGCAAACGCCTCCTGGTCCTCTGGCTGGTCCAGGCTCTCGTTTCCCTCCCGCCTGAGCTGCTCAAAGTACCGGTACGCCCAGGTATCGTTCGGCAGGTCGCCCCTCCGCATGCGGTTCTTGGCCAGGCGGAAGTTGTTGAGCCACCAGGCGCGCTGTTCGCGCTCGCGCCAGATCTCATAGTTATACCACGGGTTGACGAACGCGGGCAGATACCACAGTGGGGTCAGGGTGTTGGTGATGGGACCCGAGACACTCATACAGTGCAGCGTCTGGTCGGCGCTGTCGCCGTTGGTGCGTCCCTGCGTTGCGTCGTCCCACGCTAGCCGCGACATGACGCGCCCGCAGTACTCGCGAGTGTAGTCGAGGAACCTCGCCGGGTCCAGCAGCAGCAGGCCCAGGTACCGCTTCATCTCCTTCTCGACGTGGCCGTAGAAGTGATGCCTGTAGGCCTCGGCCATGGCGGCGTGGCACCACTTGCGCTGCGTTTTCCAGATGTCTGTGACAGTTTGTAAGTCTATGATTTCACAAAATGCAACAGCATAGGCTCGTTTAGTATCTTACCATGACGGTCCATCAGGGCAGAATATGCCGGGCCCTCTTTGTGCCTGATGAGGGACCGGATCTGTGGCCGGCCCGAGTAGATGTGGCCTCTCTTAACAAGCAACTCCTCTGCAATCTTTTCGTCGGATACAATTATGAACGGCTGGTTCAGGGCTCTGGTGTAGTAAATAGGTCCATGTTCGTCTGCCCATTCCTTGAACTTCAACCAGAGCGAAAAGCGCGGTAGGTCATGGACACGGCCCACGATGGGGAACTGTTGCGGCCCTGGAAACCTGGCTTTGGATCCGGCACTCTTTCTCCATGTGAGAACTTGCTTGACGGCTGAGTAGAGAAGACTGGGGATGGCCAAGTAGAGAATGAGTAACGTGAGGTCCTTCATCTTGGGTGCACTGTGCCAAGGAAACTACCGGTAGGTGGTCACGTTGAGGGATGGTCTGACGAGCGGCAGAACGGGGGAAGGGGGCTCATGACCGGGGAATTGAGGGTACTAATACGAAGCAGCCATCTGCCTCCGTCCCATAAAGCAAGCAATAACCAAGCCATCCCGTAATAGCGAGATTTGCAGTGACGTGGGTCATGACTGTCTCACAGGCCTGCTCTTATTTGGGCTCCGGCGGCCGGCCCTGGCACGCACTCAAGGCTCGATGCCCGAACCAGCAAACTTTGTCACCCGGAGGCACGTTGTACATGCTTTGGATTGCGGCAACAGAGCCACATTCCATCGGGCGAGCAGCCAACCACGACGCGGCGGCCTCGCTATTTGGGACCCGACGTGGCGGGAGTCCGGACGGGCGGGCCCATGAACAAAGCTGTCCGGGAGAAAGACAAAGCGGGGAGACATGTATTATGAGCTGTGGGGGTCCGCAGCCGAGAATCGGCATGTGGTTCCGCTGGAAGCCCTATGATTGTCATGGCCGGCCACAACCTGTCTTTTGGCGAAGTGCTCAAGGTGAAGATCATTTCAGCCGCTTGTCCGCAAGCAGGGCAATGTTGTGTAGCGTGCTCCGTCAGAGTCATCACCGAGCGACTGAGGTCGGACGACTATATCAGGCTGAGAGTTTGCAATATCGGATTCCCTTGGACTGCAAGGGACTTCCATTCAGCATGCCAGGGGTGACTTAAGTCCCGTTCCGCACAGAGGTAAAGCTTCCACCGGGCTACCATCCCATTCAAGATAATGACAGCGGCCAACGTGATGTCCACATCTGCCCTCCGGCTCTTCCATTTCTCGGTATGCCGTGAACTTCCTGGTAAGGAGGGCCAGGTCTCAGGCACTTGTACTTGTACAATGCCACAGCCGCCCGTCAAGGAGCTGCTGTGCTGATATGTCTAAGCGCGTTTGGCCGAGTCAACCGGTGCAACTATGGCATGACAGCAGGCAGCCCTGATGCCGTGGCATGCGGCAGAATGCGGTGAGATTCTTCCGCACCCGCACAAGCCATGTTCCACAGCAGGAGCGAGAGTTGACAGGGGTACTGAGGTATTGAGAATGAGGGGTTTGAGGAAGATGGACATCTGAGTTGGGGATGTCCGACGCTTGGCTGCCTGGCAAGCCAATGAAGTGCCTGCACCATTTTCAGCTCTTCCAGGACCGAAGGGTTTCGGGTTCGTCGTGATTACCGTGCAACCTCGCATCCGGGTCGGCAGACATAGAATCCACGGTGCTGGGACCAAGAAACTTGCGAAGCTCGAACCACTTGTAGGTCCCTGCAGCAACTGGACATGGTCTGAGGATGGTATCGTGGCACCCTCTCCCCTTCCTCGTGACGGGAAGGCGGCCTTGGGTTCCGAGCAGAAGCAGCACCGGGTGATGAAGGTGCTGCATGTTTCGGCATGGTGGATCCTCAGCAGATATCCTTGCGAACTGCAATGAATGAGTAGCGAGACTGTGGTGATTGAGCAGTGTTGTGGGACCACGATGCACAGGACTTGCGGGTGATCGCTGTCGTCGGCTCGGCAGAGCAGGAATCATCAAGGAGCGGTTTAGGAATCTTTATGCTCTGTACTGAAGCCGCCCTAACATCGGTTGATGTGGGCGACGATGTATGCCAAATCTTGGTTCAGTGGCTCGTAACTAACCTCTACTCAAGCCGAAGCGGCGTGCGGGTGCCGCTGCAGAACCAATTGCTCGGTTTGAGCGGAGCGAATGCCGCCGCAAGCTACAAGGTAACGAGTACGGATACTGCCTAAGCAGTCATGAGAGCTGCATCCGATGTACGGTGGCTTGGCGGCTGCAGCTTGTACGACCGATCACCCAAAGTGCACTTTGATACTGAACGAGCAACTCGACAGCCCTATTGATGACCCAGCACCGAGGCTTGACAGAGATTTAGAGGGCATGAAAGGGAAATATTACCCTACCTTGCTGAAAAGAGGTATTGGCTGGCATACTTGACTGGGCGACCGATGATTTGCTCAAGATGCCGAACTCCCAGGAGTCAGAGAGAACACGAGGAGCGTAACTAGACCGCCCAATGACCGCGGGTCGGCATCATCCGGCGCGATTTGGTCGCTGTCGCCGACTCGAAACCCTCGGAAGGCAAGCCGAGCAGTGACACCACAGCATTCCAAACGTCGGGACCGAGAGGGGCATCAAGACCGAGGGAAAATGTCGAAGAGTCGCTGATGTGCAAGCCCCCATCCTGCTGATTCGCGAGTGGTCTCAGCCAGGGAACCCACCCACTTGGAAAGGGTTTGTGACTGGCGTTCTGGGTGCTCTGGCGACCACTCGAGGGCCGAGCATAAATGTAGCGCCGTAATGGCCCTGTTGATCGGGCATGATATGGTTTGGAGTTGTCTGGACAAGACAGAAGGCCATTGCTAGTCCACCACATGGTCGAGAAGCTGCGGCGAGCACCGGGCGAGAATCGATTGTCCGAATAAGAGGGCCGCGCACGGCGGCCGGGCCAATCCGAAAGGCATGTTTCGGTTCCGGCGGCTGTCAATGACGGCGTCGCCGCCCGGTCTGAAAGGACTCGGCAGCGTAGGATATGGCGGGCCGGCCACGCAGGCATCCGATTGAGACCCGGGGAGAGGATGGAAGCGTTGGCGGTTATGGAATTGTTGCCGGTGTGTTCGGACGTTGCATGACGTTCAACCCCATGGATGTTGATGTGACTGTGTGCGCTTCTCGGCCTTCATATCTGCTTCAGGCTTGTAGTGGCGGAATCGGTGACTCCCTTGCTTCGACGCTCGTGAAAGAAACAAGCATCCTGATTATACCGATAATGGCCACAGCTATGCGCTGGTTATCCGATGTAAAACGATATGGTTGTGGGGGAGGAGGGGGAAAGGGTTTAGTTGTAGGTGTATTATTCCTTGTTGCTCTCACAATGTGGAAAAGGAGATGAGCATGGCCTTCTATGGAAAAGCCTTCTATGGAAAAGGAGATGAGCATGGCCTTCTATGGAAGGTGTCCCACGTTCGAGGCAGTGGGGTTGGTGGTTGCCCGGTCGCTGGCCGAAAATACCCCGCGCCAATGGAAACAAATTGTCCCATCCGGATGGTGCGGCGCCAGGTGCCCGATGACATCAGCCGCTGTCGCCAAAGCCCTGAACGCCACTGAGGGCGTCGAAGACGCGAAAAGCAAGGTACCTTAATCTTAAGCAAGTACCGCGGCGCGAAGTCAGCGAGTCCAATCATGACTACGTGAGTACCGAAAGCAGTGACCGCGCACTTGGAAAACCGGGAATCTAACTCGACTGTCATCATGCTGCAGCTCCAACATCCTGTCGCTTCCCTTCAGGAAGTCGAACCAGCTCTCCCTCGCGTCCTCAATCCGCCAGTACATCTCCAAGAAGTATGACCAGCACCCGGATATGTTCCGCCATGACCTCGAGGTCATTGACTCGTTGCGCCGCGACGCCGTCAACACGCGCGACGCGCATCCTAGCGGCATCAAGAAGCTCCAAATTTACGCGGGCCAGCTGGTCTGGATGAGCGGAAAATTTCCTATAGATGCAAGCTCTCTATCCCAATCACCGTGTCCAGCAGGAGGCCAGGCTGACCTTGTCCCGTTGACAGATCGGAGTCGATTTCACCTGGTATCCGGCCCTCGGCTACCACACCGAACACCCCCTTGTCCAGAACAACCTCAAGTACGAGCTCATCAATATCCTTTACAACCTTGCCGCGCTCTACTCCCAGCTGGCCGTATCCTCCAACCGCAGCAGGACCGAGGGCCTGAAGACCGCAGCGAGCTACTTCTCCCAAGCTGCCGGGGTACTCAAGCACATGAAGACCGAGGTCCTGCCCGAGCTACGCATGGCCAACCCCCCGGACGATATGGACGAGGCCACGCTGGAATCCCTGATCCAGTTATTCCTGGCTCAGAGCCAAGAATGCTTTTGGCAGAAGGCCGTCATGGACGGCTACAAGGACGCCTCGATCGCGAAGCTGGCCGCGCGGGTGTCTGACCTCTACAACCTGGCTGGTGAGGCCGCCATGCGCAGCGAAGCCATCAGCTCTGCTTGGATTCACCATATGAGTGCGAAGCACCACCATTTTGCCGCTGCTGCGCAGTACCGCGCCGCCTGCGAATGTCTGGAGAGAAAGCGGTACGGTGAGGAAGTTGCTCGCCTGGCTGATGCCGTCGCGTGCGTCAAGGAGGGACTAAAAGAGTGCAAGGGAGGATACATCAACCAAGCCGTGGTCGATGACCTTCAAGGCCTCAAGAGGCGCGTGGAGGAGGACTTGAAGAGGGCTGAGAAGGACAACGACGTGATTTATCTACGTGAGTCTGTACCTCTGAGCCGTTTTGCAATCATCATGCTGACCAGCGGCAGAGGTGGTCCCGCCGAAATCCGAACTTAAAACCCTTGAGCGAGCCAATATGGCGGTGGCTCGTGTTCCACCTCAGGTCGCCAATCCGTACGAGTACTTTGGGGATCATGCCGAGTTCGGGCCGGCCTTGTTCACGAAGCTTGTCCCATTTTCGGTCCATGTAGCTATATCCATCTACGAGGAGCGGCGCGATCGGATCGTGAACAACAACATCGTCGCCGAGCTTGAGGCTCTGACGGATAAGCTACACGAAATTCTCTCCGGTCTAAACCTTCCAGGGTCACTACAGGCCCTTGAGAAGCCCCTGGGGCTGCCAGGCACGCTTGTGCAGCACGCTGATGAAATCCGCCAGGCTAATGCCATCCAACGGCTGCAGCGAGGGCTGACGGACATTGAGAAGCTCTGCGCCAGCGACAAGATGATATTCGAGGAAGGGAAGGCGCTGCTGGCAGCCGAAGAGCAAGAGGACAAGAATCTCAGGTTGAAGTATGGCACACAGCGCTGGTCGCGCCCCGAATCTCGGCTCGAGTCAAGCCGTGACGGCGGTGCCAGGCTGTGGAACCAGGCTGCCGAGATTGACGGGTACTTCGCGTCCAGTACGTCCAGTGATGCCGTGGTCCGCGAGAAGTTTGCCGCGGTCAAGGACACTCTGGCTATCCTCGCCGGGCCCGACCGGGGAATCATGGACTACATCCCCAACAGCAGGAAGACTGAGATCCCTGAGCTTCTCAAACCCGCCATCGGCCGGCTACGGGGCGTCTACAACGATGTGTTACGCCTCGAGTCGCGGAGGAGGAAGCGCGTCGAGACCCTCAGAGCCCGGAGTCGCGCCGATGACGTCAAGACAGATATCCTCGCCGAGGCAGCCCGTCTCGAGCGGACATACCCAAATACACCTATCGTCCCGGCGCATTTTGAGGAGTTCTTCGACAAGCGATTGGACAGTTTGTACGAGGCCGAGTTGGAAGTTGTTGAGAAGGAGCGTGCAGACCAGGAAAAGATCGTGGCAGATCTTCAACGAGCCAACCGCGAGTTTGAGGCGCAGAAGAGGAGCATCGGCGAGAAGGGGAGCTACGAGAGGGAGAAGGCTCTCCAGCGGTTAGACAATGCTTACTACAAGTACAAGGAAATCGTTAGCAACGTCGAAGTCGGGAGGAAGTTCTACAACGATCTCAGCCGGATCGTCGAGCAATTCCGGAATCAGGCGCGGCATTGGGTCAACGAAAGAAGAAAGGAGGCCCGGGCTCTTGAAGAGTGAGTCCTCGTACTGCCAACAGCCTCCCCGATCCAAACTGACATCCCAAACAGCGAACTATCCATGCCCCCTCTCTCCTCCTTATCACTCAACCCTGCTCAACCATCACCACCACCAGCCCAGTCATACCAAACCTCAAACCCAGCCTCGTACTACACCCAACAACCGCAAAAACCACAGTCATACCCCCAACCAATCCGTCAGAACGTGCATGCTCCCCCGCCGCCGGTCGAGGCCCGGATCCAGAGCTGGGCGGATAACGTCCAGCAACAACAGCCCAGGCCGATGCCCCCGCCCGTTGCCCCCGTCGCTAGCATGCAAGGCGCGTGGACGCCGGATTTGGGGATACGGTTCTCGTCTGGGTCTCCTGCTGGTGGTGCTGTTGGCGGTGGTGGTGGCGGCGGCGGCGGGAATAATGGTGTACAGGGAGGGTCGAAACCGCCTGTAAAAGGGACGTGGGATCCGAATAGTGGGATTCGGTTTGGTTAAGGTGGTAGGGATAAAGTGGATGTGAATGCTCTGTGAACCGTCTGTTAAGGGTCGTGGTTAAAGAAGAATAAGGGAGGATATAGACATAACAGTGGGAGATACCAGGTATATACAGCCAAGTCACCTTGCCTCCTACATGCATCCTTCTAAATTCGAGCAGTCAAACAACTTGCAGGACCATCCAACCATCCAACCCCTCTCGCCAAGTCTCTCTCCTCGACATGCAAAATTTCTACAATAATCAAGTCCGCCAATTTAGGACCTTGGACTACACTGTACATTCGGTCGAGCTCGTTCTATCAGAAACTAGTGCAGCTTTCGTCCCCCTCAAACCTGCCAGATCTATAATGGCCATGTGTGAGGCACGCAGGGGCATCGATCTTCGTTTGCTCATTGTTGCCTGCGTTCAGCAATGTCAAGCCTGACAACTGGAGGAGGCTCAGCCTGATCATGATGACGGCCATCATATGCCATCCGCACTCAGTGGCTCATCGGGCATCCTTGAACACCACCGCGATATATTCGAAGTCGGAAATTGCGCTTCAACATGCGACCTCTGCCAAGTTATATTTCAAGCCTTTGAACAGAGAGAAGTTGAAAGTCCAGAAGACGCAAGGGGTTTGCCGATTGTCCTCAGATCATTCAGGGACAAGATTCAAGTCTGTCACTCTTTTGGGGAGGAGTCCATTGAGCTATGTAATCTTGACTTGTACATGGATGTGCCATCGGTATACATGCTTATAGCACCTCGGGGTTTGGGGTTCTCGAACTGACATTGTCAGCGCTCGCTGAATGCTTCCGAGACTTGCACATCAAGGAGGACCATCGTCCGATCCTGAAGAAAATGGACGCAAATCCTGGTTCCGAATCTTCCCTTGTGATCGCATCTAGCTGAGTGCAAAGCTGTCTGATCAATCACGGCGTTTGCCACACCCCTCCCGAATTCCAGCGCCCGTCCAAACGGCTGATCGTTGTTGGCAAGACAACTGAGATCCCGTTCCTCGAGGACATCGGCGCAAATTCCCCGCCTGTCAAGTGGTTGTGCCTCAGCTATATCTAGGGGAGAGTTGAGCCTGCCGTGAAGCTTACCAAGGCCAACATAGATAAACTAAAAAGCGGGATGCGCCTCGAGTCCCTCGATGCTACTGTGCGAGACACACTCCTTGTTGCAAAGGCCCCTGCATATCTCATATATTTGGATCGATGCATTATGCATTGTTCAAAGACAAGAAAGGATACGAACGAGTGGCATGAACAGGCCCCTAAGATAGACGAGATTTACGGAGGCTCTGTTCTCACTCTTGTGGCAACCAGTGCGAAGGCTGTCAAGCAAGGGACTCTGACGAAGCGCCAACTGCGGTACATTCCCACATCAGGGTCTGATAATCCGTCAAGTCTTACTACTGAGGGATGAGTCACCAGCGAAGTTATTCCTGGCTCCAGAATGGGCCCGCGATTCAATCAACGGACCCTAGAACAGCCGAGGATTGACAATGCAGGAAGCCTCACTCCCCGATCACTACTATACTACATATCTACTCAAACGATGTGGAAGTGCTATCTGCGAGGACGAGAGATTCGAAAGAGGCATGATCAGAGGTCTTGACAGCGTGGTTGCAGATTTCGAGCGCTATGCCGGCTGCTTTGACTTTGGATCCGGATGGCTCTGGACACTGGAGACCTTCTTGAAGTTCAAATGGTTTTCCCGTTATCTACTAATCCAGTGGGAACAGTTAGAGCCAGAAATGTTTCGTCTGTGGTACAATTTTGCCGAGGATTGCTCTCCTCGGCAGTTCACAGACCCCGGCGATCGCTTCGCCGCAGGCTCCGGTCTTGCCAAGGTCTTCGGCGACACAATCCGGTGCGATGAATACTTTGCCGGACTGTGGAAACCAGATATGATACGGGGTCTGATGTTGTACACCGAAGGGCCAACGCTTATCCCTCGAAAGCCTCTAGACAGCGACAACTTTCCAACTTGGAGCTGGGCCAGCGCGGGATACGGACTCGTCAAGAACGCCCAGGAGGATGACAAACTGCGCTTATCGCGAGTCGAGAATGTACAGGTGGACCTCATCGACAAACGCCAGCCATTTGGCCAATAAAATGAGGAGCACCCACATTATTACACTGACTGGCCCCCTCAAGAGACTGCCGAGACTGTACTACAAGGCATGGAGATGCGAGGACGCAGCGATGTCCGAACTGGAGCGGCACCTCTCAGAGATGATCGAGATGGAAAGTCCAGGGAAGGCGGAATAGAGGTACTCTTTTCCGTCTAGCGGGCATTGCGCCGTACTTCAGATGCTTCGGGGTCACCGTCTTCAGCCTTTGGACCTGCTTGTCTTGGAATCAATTAGTGAAGCCCCAAACAACATGTAACGCCGTGTTGGTGTACTTACACTACAAAAGCTTCCATGAGCAAGATATATGCTCACCATATCTTCTCGTTAAACTATAGGAGAGGAAACTCCTTTCCCGCCCGCCTTGGTCCAGGTGCATCGGCGATGAGGGGTTTCAAACTTTATCAGAGAGTCTTTGTGGAGGTGATGAAGGAGACGTGGCAGGAGCGAACGGTGGTTATTATCTGAAAGAAGGTTGGTCAAGCTAGAATTAGCTTCGATGTTACTGACGTATGGATGTGATATGCTCAGTTGAGAGCGAAGGCAGAGTTAGAACCTTAAGAAGTGGTGGCTGGACCCTAACCCTGTGGTTTTCCGTTCAGGTCTGGTTTATCATACCTGGAACGGGAAATATCGCCCTGAGGCTGCAAGGACAATCTTTAACCGACCGGTTCACCGTATCGGCGACATCATCATCCTCATCGTCGATGAGTCAGCGCGGAAACTTAGGGCGGATTCAATTCACACAACAGGTTTCATTTGATGAATTCTGCGCATTGTGGTCCGTATCCAGCAAGCGCTCCCGATCTTCAAAATTCTGATAGCATCCTCACCTCCTTAACAAGAAACCCTACCTTGACTTAAACCCGTGAGCAAGAACCTGTCGCCGCAATGTCGCTCTCACCCGACGATACTGTCGAGACCCCCCTCCTCTCGCACGGCCCCGGCTCACCCGAACGCCCGAACCCCTCGCGGCTTCGCCTTAAGGTGGCCAACCGCATGTCGTCAGGCGCCCCGGACCCTGAGCGGCCCCACGCCGAGAAGCACATGGGTCAGTACGACTCTATCATGCGCGACGTCATCATCGGCTTCTCGGACGGCTTGACGGTACCCTTTGCCCTGACCGCGGGCCTGTCGTCGCTCGGCAACACCAAGATCGTCATCATGGGCGGCCTGGCCGAGCTTTGCAGCGGCATGATCAGCATGGGCCTGGGCGCGTACCTGGCCGCGGACACGGAGCGCCAGCATTGGTGTGTTACTCTTTTCTGTGTCCTCCTCCAGGCGAGGATCCTTGCTAACTGACTCTCTACAGGGATGCCGAGTTTGCGCGCGAGTCCTCCGAGGTCGACACGATGCCGGCCATGGAGCGCGCCGAAATCTACGACATACTGGCAAACTACGGCGTCAGCCAGGCCGCGGCAGAGCCGCTCGTGTGCGAATTGACGGCCGACAAGAACAAGTGGGTGCGCTTCATGATGGACTTTGAGCTGCGCCTGCCCGAACCCGACGTCGGACGCGCCTGGGTGTCGGCCGCCACCATGGGATTGAGCTATTTTGTGGGCGGGTTGATCCCAATGCTGCCCTACTTCTTTCTCGACCGCGCCGAGAAAGCGCTCATGGTATCGGTCGTGATCACTGTTGTCATTTTGCTGGTTTTTGGGTTCCTGAAGAACTGGGTGGCGATCCGGACGAGGAAGGCCGGATTCTGGGGTGCAGTACAGACGTTGATAGTCGGTGCGCTGGCTGCGGGGACGAGTTATGCTATTGTGAGGGCATTGGATAACACACACAGCTCTTGAGGCGAGGGACATACGGTATGACTGATGAGCAGCGGGTTGGAATGGCGTTTGTGAAGCGGGAGTGGGTTAGGCCTTCAAGGTTTGTTCCGGGTTATTACAGGGTCAACAACCAATTCTTGCTTGACGCAGGCCTTTTAGGTTTCAAGATCACAAGAGTGGAAACTCAAGTGTACATGTAGGACAAGTTTACAGCACTGTGTTCTAACCAGTAGGTCTGCATGTTACGTTACATATCTAAGTCATCGTTGCTCAGCACCGTCTAGTGGCTCGTAGTGACCAATTCTCACCCGTCGGCGACTAAGGTTGGTGGCTTCACATTCCTGGGACCGCAGGCAACGGTTTAGTCATTTTTTGTCCCTCGAGGGTGGCTTTGTTGAGTGTGCTATGGTTAGTTGGCATCGAGCAGTCGCCGGAAACGACGAAGTCCGGTCAAACCGGCTCAACAAAGCGAAGACGGACCTCGAGCAGAGCGCCACAGCAGATTGATACAAAGCCTGGACTTCGCCTGGAGAGTTGTCATATGCCTTAGGATCTTACATCTTACATCCCATGTCTAGAACTTCCAACTCGCCGCTGAAAACATTTTGATCCGCAGAGGAAGACTTCACGTCCAAACCGAGAAGCCCCTTGCCTGCAGTGGCACAGCGCCTTACAGAGCCCCAACAAAGGTGGTAGTGGCGTTGCATGCAGCCCATCACCAAACTGGCCAGCAATAGCCTGGAGAAAGTCCACAAAATCCCATCTTTCCATCAGATTCGGAATCAAACCTTTCATGGACTTGCTCGAAGAGAGTTCCAGTTCGAAGCCGGCAGGTACCCACGGTTCACAAAACAGGAGAAAGTCGAATAACATTGCTCGCCACTCAGCCGTCTTGAAGCCTGTAACTCAGAAACATATCAATCCCAAGAAACTTGACAAGGGGGCGCCGAAATCCAAACCTAAAACAAGGGTAATGGACCCTGGAGCCGCACCAGCCGGCCGCGTGATGAGGTCGAAGACGGCTCAGGCAGTTGAGGCTTTGAACCAACACGAAGCTCTTACCACCGCCCCTGAGCCTACGGGCACGTAGGAGGAGTCCCCAAAGTCAGCGGTCAGGACTAGGTCGAAGTCTACACCAGAGCCTCACACGGAGGTTTTCGGGCCTCCACCCCCAACGTCGAAAGCGAAACGGAAGCGGAAGCGAGAGGTTATGACCATTGAAGAGCCGCCGGCAGAGCAAGAGATCATTGTTGCGCCGAGAACGGTTCCCGACACTGCGAAGACACCTCCAGCTGCCAACGCCGTCCCGGCATCCGAAGCCAAGGAGTCTCCACGCGCCAGCCGCCCCAAGGCTGCCGACTTCTACGAAACTGTAGACAGCCCTGCCGATGCCTCCGGTGGCCCAACCCCAACGAACAGCATCTCAAAGCCCCAATCTCAACAAGAAGAGCAATGGTTTCAGCTCACGACCCCTGAGATCCCTTGGGAGCTTTACGGCCTGTCAGACCCTGAATCCGCAACCAGGCCAAGAGAGGCAGAAAGAAAGGGGAACAAGGGCTCCTCGGCCAAAAAGGGACACCCAAGAACCTTCCCCAAACTCAGCCGTACGCGCCCAAGAATCGGAGCAAGGTGGCCATCTCGCCGCCAAGGACCCGCACGATAGGTCCATGGACGAAGACTACGTTCCAATCGGCCCCGGTCCCATGCCCAGAGTCCCCAAGCTTCTCAAAGGCTCCAAAGGACGCCCCCGCAAAGACCTCCACGACGCTCTCCCCACCGACGGCATCCCATTTCCCTCATGAATTGCCGACTCCCCCGCCGCAGCAGACGACCCCCTCCGCCTTTACCAACCCCGAACCTTCTTCCTCCCCACCGCGTTGAAGATGGTGCCCAAAGTAAAAGCGGACCCAGGCATCTGGAACCTGGGCACAAAACCTCACCCCGCAACACACCCTCTACGCCGCGCTACTCCGCAAGGGCACCGTCTACTGCGAGACGTGCTTCCGCGAGGAGCTGGCGCGGTGGCGCGCGGATGCGTGACGCCGTGCTTCGAAACCTGCGCCTGCTCGGCGGGGATGAGACGCTGAATGCCTGTTCCACGACGCGCTCATCCAAGCCCAAGTAGATTGTTTGTCTCGAGCTGAACCTGTAGCATGGTGAATGCCATGTATCCCGCTGACGGCCTCATGAAGCTGCCCGGCGCGGTAGCTGCTGAAGCGTGGGTACGGGATACCGACGATCTCAGATGTTTTCGTTGGATCTGGGTTGCCGGGACCGTCGACGAAGTATCTTTCCATAACCCATTCCGGATGGTCTGAAAGCCGTTGTTCAGATAAATTTTCCAGTCACTCTTTGTGCATCTGGGACCGTAGCTCCTCTAGGTGGTCGGGTACTTTATCGCACTGGATGATTAATGTTAAACGATGGAGAGCTCCACTGATGGTGTCGCAGACAGGCGGTCTTGCCTGCCAGGAGCACTTTTGCCTGCATCAGGGTAGCATTGCCGGAAAATTCTCTCTCGTCGTACTTGACGCCGTAGTGCTGCAGCTGACCGCGGACAAGGTCGCGGTAGTGAGTTCGGAGGAGCCGATTGGCTTCCGGAGTTAGACACGGCAGAAGCATGGCTTTCAATTGCGCGCCGTCAATGTTCTCAGTCTGACCTCGGGCATAGAATCGGCCGTACGAGTACTTGAAGCCATTGCGGGTGATGTCGCGGTCGTTCATTTCACCGAGTAGATTGATGGACCGCCCTGCTGCAGGTTTTCAACACCGGTTGGAGTAGCAGCTAAAAACCAGGAAACTTTGCCATGGCTCCAATAAAACTTGGAAGCAGGGCAACTTGGAGAAATCTCAAAGCTGATTCGCGCAAGTTCGTGGGGTTGCGACCAACCGCAGCGATCGCGGAAGAGCTGACACAAACCCTAACCCTGTAGCCGTTACCGGCTGGATCCGTGGGGCCATGCTGTGTGCTGTGTGCCTGCATTGCACGTCGGACAGTCCATCTTGAGCGCCGGGATCTTGCGCAACGAGCATTTCATCGTTGTGTTCGCTGTCACTGTCTCATGTAGGATATACAGTGCTATTTTATGGTATTACCGTTGTCTTGCATTTGACCTCGGGAGCTTGCTGCGACTGCTTGCTCAACTTTGCTGCCAGTGCGCTTCAAAACTGAAACAAAATGCCAAGACAAGCCCCGTCCGGAGTTAACTGTGTGGCTATTGGCATTGCTCCATGGAAAACAGCCCGGTTGCCATTTCGACAATTGTCGGTCTTCAAACCTGGGGAGGTTCAATGTCCCACCTTGGCGTGTTGCGTGGCATATTGCGTGTCACTTGGGGCTTGTTGAGAGCACAAGATCCCTTGAACTCGATCGCCTGGCAGGTTCCGCGATCTGCACCGTCTTTTTCCCGCTGAATTTGCTAGGACGCCATTCTGCATTGCTCCAAGGGCTGCCTTCCCCTCACTTCTGAAACATGCTTGGCAAGGGGTTTAAGGAACATCCCGGCCGAATGACTTTATCGGCGGCCGGAAACTCCGTGAGTGGAGATCGTCAGTCAACGACAACTCCGGCAAAAAAAAAACCTACTAGACGCTCCAAATCTCCGGCACAGCAAGTCGCCAACCAGCAAGCACCTCCACCAAAGCTATGTTGGATCTCGAATGGGACTGGAGGCCGAAACCAACCAACGGCCATTGTGTAACGTGGATGACCAGGCAGAGTCTTTATTAGCTCTCAACCAAATTAGAGGCATATGCTGCTCATCTCGGTTTATCGCTGCAGCTCCCAACGGGAATCTGCTGATCCCAAATCTCAAACAGCAAACCAGGCTGTGTCTGTCCAAGCCAGTAGGCACAATAATGTTCGGCGCAAAGTTGGGGAGGTTGGCGCCCGTTTTTTCTGCTGCAGGCCAAGCCGCGCCGTTGCTCGGGATGGGTTTCAAACGGCAGCTTCTGCAGAATTCATCCTCCACACATATCTTTGATGTGACGCCCACTCGACACCCGCAGACGACGTCTACTTATCTCTCACTCTTTTTTTCCCTCTAGACCACTCAGTTCTCCGACATCTCGAAGTTCGTCCCCACTGGATAGGTGGCTGACAGTTGGCCCCGGCCGGGCCCACGCTCCGAATGTGTCCACAGTACGCGTAACATCGACCCGCCGAAGTATAAGTGGGCGTGGGAACAGGGCTCGAATTGTTGTTGTTGTTGCCCCCCTCTGTAACCTTTTGTCCCCTGCCGATCGTTCCCGTCGTTGACCTTGCTGTTCTGTGCGCCGGCACCCATTCGCCATCCCTGACTAACTTTGTCAACATTGTCCTACCCGTTTCCGTTGTGCAGTGTATCACTGCCGCCCGTACTTCCGTTTGTCCTGCTCTGTTTCTTCCATAAGTTTTATGCTACCACTTCCTTGCATCCAATCTAACCTGGAAATCAGGTTTTGTCAGCACCGCTGAGAACCTTCTGTCCCATCTCTCGCTTTTCGCGGGTTGCGGCTTTCTCTCCGCTGAACTCCGTCTTTTTACACCGGGGGAGCCTGTTGCGCCTTCCTCCACAGATTACTTGCATTACGCCGCCAAGCGCCAAACCCGAAACGAGTGGCAGGAGCAGGCCAGAGCTCCCAGTCCATCCTTCGATGACCATTCTTTGAGAGATTTCTGACCAGCCGATGCCACCTTGGACATCGACGACTACCGCGAGATGGGCGCCACAACAGCCAGGTCGCATCGCTGCTTCGGCATGCGAAACACCTTCACAAGGGCACTAATACTAACCGTCATTATGCTCGCCATCGGCGGCATACTCCTTCGATCCGACATGGACGTGCAGTCGGCGCTCGCCAGGACGGCCGCATCGGCAAGAGAGGCAATATCGCTGCAGAAACCCATGAGCAAGCCGGAATCTGCGGGCTGGGGCGGGCCAGCGAGAACATCAGGGAACGAGATCAGCTTCGCAGCGGATGGCACGGCCGCACTCTCTAACTCGTCCCGTACGATGGCATGCGACTACGATATGGAGAAGCTCAGGAAGTGGAAGCAACAGTTTCACCTCGAGGAGACCTTCGAGTACACGAAGCGATACGTTCAAGTTTCCCGCCGAGACATTCCGAGAAAGTCCGTCACTGAGCTCGGACAGAACTTGCTTGTTGATGCCGTCAAGGTGGTCGATGTGAACAAGCAATACCAATCTGAGGCCTGCCCCGCGCCTCTTGTTGCCCCGGTCACCAAATCCCCGTTCCCGAGCACTGCCAATGCGTCCGACTTCATGTTCGGCGTTTCAACTACCTACCAGCGATTCACCGACCCACGGACGAGCCCCATCAATGAGTGGTCCTACTGGCTGACGGACGGCAAGGGCCACTCCAACGGTGGAAAGCTGGTGTTGTTACTGCTGAACGCAACCGATGGCGAGCTGGAAGATGCCCATAACCAGCTCACCAATGTCGGCATCGACGTGGATGTGTACCGCTCCGACCCGAACCTCATCATGGCGGTGCGCTACCTCGCCCTGGTGCCCACGCTGTACCAACACCCGGCAGGTAGCAGCAAGAAGTGGCTCGTCATCTGCGATGACGACACCTTCTTCCCGTCTTTTCACGCCTTGGCTGACCGACTCGCCAAATACAACCATGAACGACCAATGTACATTGGCACCTTCTCCGAAGACGTCAACAACATCCAGCGGCACGGCTCTCAAGCATTTGGCGGCGCTGGCGTGTTCCTGAGCGTGCCCATGTCCAAGATTGTGTCCGAGAAGTACGACAGCTGTAGGACAGAGCAGAAGATTCTCGAGTCCAATACGGGCTGGGGCCCTCAGGGCGACATCATCCTTCGCAAGTGCATCTACGAAAACTCCGAGGTCAAGCTCACGCTGCTCAACGACCTCTGGCAGCTCGATCTGTTCGGTGACCCGTCAGGCTTCTACGAGTCCGGCATCAAGCCTTTGTCCCTGCACCACTACCGCGGCGGCATATGGCACGTCGCGCACCCCTGGCACTACACCAAGGTTGCCCACGTCTGCGGCGAGGACTGCACTCTGCAGCGGTTCCAGACCGCCGACGACTTCATCATCTCCAACGGCTTCAGCATTGCCTACTATCCCCAGGGTATCGACTTCGACCTTGACCAGTTCGAGGCCACGTTCCACCCAGCACCGGAAGACAAGGGTTGGAACCTGGACTACAAGATGGGCCCCCAGCGGGCCTCGCTGCATAAGACGGGGCGCAAGATCTCGTGGGACCTGCAGGAGGCGACGGTCAATGACGACGGCAGCGTCACGCAGGTGTATGTGTGCAAGCATGACGACTGGCGGTGGAAGAACCCTGATGAGACGCCCATGACTAGCCGGGATGGGATTATTGAGCTTGTGTGGCTGCCCGACGCATGGTAAGGGTTTGCACCGTTGTGGTTGCCTCTGTTCTGGTGCATCTTCACGAGTCGGATTGACCAGCCGACCTCATTTTACTTATGTCGTAGGTATTCCATTTTCTTATGTGATCGATCTCGTTGGACGGCTTCAAAATGGTTGTGTGGCGGCAGGGACAGTGATAACAAAGGCACATAGAAGGCGTTTACTTGTATTTAGCTGCCAGGTGCCAATCCCTCTGTCACGGATGTGCTGCGCTGAGCGACGAGGCCACATCTACCAAATACAGGCAATTATCGACGTTACAGGGCCTAGAACATGATGAGGTTTCATAAACTAGTGCATCCGCATGTCGTGTAGCGAGCAACATAGATAATAGAGCTACCTTCCCAAGGGCAACTTGTCAAGGTCAAGAACATCAGACTTCTGTCACTACGTAGTATCTCAAGCTTCAATTGCAGTCCTTGATCCCGGATATTCTCGTATATCATGAATCAAAAGACTCAAACCCACCCCTAACTCCATGCAAGCCACATAAGCTCCCATCGTCGCTGCAAGTCACCCCACACTAGTTAAAATAGCTAGTGCTGTCCGGTCTTACTATCCCCAGCACCAGCAGGACGATACCGCTCGTTCTCCACATACGCAGGCGGCAGATCCTCGCCTCCCTGCAATTCCGAGTACGTGGGCGGGGGCGGAGGCACAGGGTCCGCATGCGCCGCTTCAGCTGCCGCCTCCGCAGCCTTTGCAGACACGGCCGACGTTGCTGGCGATGTGGCACCGGGAGGCGCGGTGACTGCAATGCTGGGCCCAACACCAACGCTTGGGTTTCGCAACCCCACGGTGACGCCCGGAATCCCTTGGCTAGTGGTGACCGGGGGTGGGGGAGCAACCCACGCAGAAGTCGGTGCGCCACCGGTCCCGGTGGGAGCACCAAACGCGGGAATACCGCTTCCTCCAAGCTGCTGCTGCTGCTGTTGCTGTTGGGGCAGTTGTGGCTGCTGCCCCGGTTGCTGCTGTCCGATCCACCCCTCAGCGCCCTTCAACACCTCAAACAGCCCCCTTGCAGCCGCAGGCCACATACCGCCTGTCCCCTGAGCAGGAACCTCCCCCTTGAGTATCTTCTCTACGGATACAGACTGGCCATAAAACTTGGCGTTGTCCCGGTTCCGCACGGCAATCACTGTCCCGTCGATCTGGACGCCGGCGAACAGGCCGCGCGACTTGACGTAGCTGTATACGGGCTTCAAGCTCTTCTGTCTCTTGAGGTTGTCCCGGATGCTGGGCTTGCCATCCTGGGTGGGCTTGCCGTCATCTTCCGAACCAGAACTCATGCCCTGCTGGTTTTCTGGGACAGGCGGGGATATGAAGTGCGTGTTGTCCGCTGAGAGCGGCGGCTGGGGAGCTGGTGTTGATCCGGTGGCACCCGAAAGGTTGGGCGCTATGTTAATGTCCGCTTCTGTTTTCCGAGGCGGGAGCGGCGGGGCTTTGTCGCCGGCGCCCGGGACACCCCAGTCCAGGGCGCCGCCTGCGCCGTACGGGCCTGCAGTTACGGCTAGGTCGGAGCCGAGGCTCAGGCGGGTTTTGGTAAAGAGGTTGAGGGCCTCGCGCGTGTTGATGACAATGACGCAGTCGTAAATGTCGACGCCCGCGACGAAGCCTGCGCCAATGGACGTGATTTGGATGGCTGAGGGAGGGGACCAGGTGCTGTCGGGCAGACGCGCGATGAGGATGCCGCTCCCGCTGGAGCCAGTAGCCTGGAAGCCGACGCGAACAGCCGTGAAGATAGCGAGGCCTTGAGCGCGGGCGATGACTTTGGAGGGTATGGTCAGGAGAACGCGGGACTTCTTCGGCTTGCTCGACGGCGACGGGGGTGGTTTGCTTGGGTTGGTGGTTTCCGAGGTTGGAGGAGCTTGTGGAGCTGCGTCGCTATAGATGCCATCCTCTGCGGGAAATGTTAGTGCTGCAGACCTAAGTAGCGGTCCTGGGAGAAGAATGCATACTGCAGAAGCCGCGGAGAATGCGGGCCGCCTTTTCGCACTCCTTGTCGAGGGACTCGGGCAGGAAACCCTCGGAGCCAAACTTGTGTGCGATAGCATTGACGGGGCCAGATACCTTGCTAGTGAAAGCTTCGCCGAACGCTGAAAGCTTGCTTGACTTCTTCTTCCCCTCCCCGTCGCTCCCGTGTTGTTCGTAAAGGCCCCATTTGGGCGCATGCTGGTCAGTCGGCGAGGCTTCGTAGATGTCGTCGTTAACAGTTCCGGGCGGCGGTGCAAATTGAGGATGTCCCGGATTGTGTCCTGGAATATCGTAGTCAGGAAGAGGGGTCTCGTCGAAGTGCTTGGGCGGGTGCGCTTGTGATGATGTCTGGATCGACGGGGAACCGGGCGGGCGCGGAGGAAACTGTTGCTGTTGCCCCAGTTGTGCAGCAGAGTTAACGGGTGGCTGTTTTTCGTTCGAGCTCATCGTGTCAGGATTCTGGCGTCGTTGATTTTCTTGGTCTGGCATAGGGCGAGGTGATCGCTGCGGGGAACGCGAAATGCGGTAGTCGGTGTCGAACTGGTCCGGGGGCAATCCTTTCTGGTTTCTGTGGCAGTAGACGACTAAAATGCAAGGAGAGGGAAAGAACCAAGAAAGACCAAGGTTTATGCAGTTCGTCAAGTTATATCCTACGTATATGCAGAAGGCACCGCGTGCCGAAGAGCTCAGAACAGGAGACAGCTCGCTCTGCGTCGACGTCATCGGGTGGCTTAGGTGTCGCACCAGCCGCAAGCCACGCGTCCAGGTTCGGTGTAGTGTAACATGGTTAGATGCGCGGGTTGCTGCTGATTGGCGAAATCGGTTTCTCTCTCCCCACCAAATCCCAGACGTTTTCCCGGTGTTCCCTTCGAATCGTGCAAACGAACACCGAGGCATCAAACGCAACCAAGTGCAAGACAATGTTCTTCGATATTTAACTCAATTGTTTCATTTATTATTTTCCGCCGAATTCGAAAAGCTTAGGAACGAGAGAATGGCAACTTGGGGCATGCAGCAGCGCAAGAGAACCCTCCAAGGCGCCTCAGAAAATGTCGCGACAACATCACCTTGTAATCCGTACTCGTCGAGGAACCGGTCGAAGGTGCTGAGATTCCCAGCTGACGCACGCGGTTCGTGTCAACCAGCTTCCAGAGCTCACGAGTCAAGACTTGGCCGCCAACGAAGGGGTTCTGTGCTTTGGTCTCTTCGATCCTCCTCAGACATGTACCTAGACATCGTTGGGTCTGTGCGTCTAGCCTTCAGCTGCTTGCCAGCCGTTGAACCAGCTTCTTGCGGACGTCCTCCGGGGTCGCGAGTTCATCCGCGTAGTCGATTTCTTTGGCATGGAAGCCTGCCGGATCAGGATCGCCGAGCTGCTGAAGGCGCCGATGGTTTCTAGCGGCACCATGATACATGGCGTCTTCATTCCAGGCCGTCTCGAGCACGCCGGTCCGAGCGAATTCATCGTACTGTGCGATTCCGGGGGCGATGAGGTTGGAGTTGAACACGCCAGGTCGGAGGATGGCCCATTGCTTGAAACCCACAGCGCGCACGGCTTGTTCAATCAATTCCTTCAACCCCAAGAATACGGCAACGGCAGACTGATGTTCCGAGTAATCCATACGCTCGGGTTTGAAAGCGCCGAGGCCGCTTGTGTAGACCACCTGCTCGGCTCCTGCCGGAGAGCGATCAACATGATGAGCTTGGCCTGGCGCAGGTTGGCGCCCATGTCGGTGAAGTCGGGGAAGAAGTTAAGGAAAATTGACGAAGTCCCAGCGATGGCCGATTTGAGAGCCTCTTCGCTGTCGAAGTCGCCGGGCCAGAACTTGACGCCAAAGGCGGTTATTTCTTTGGTTCTGGCTGACGAGGCATTGCGTGTGACGGAGTGGACGGAGACACCCTTGGTGAGGAGGGCCCTCGCGGTTGCGCCGCCCTGGATGCCCGTCGTGCCGCACACGAAGACTGCCTGAGACATGGTGAGAGGTTGAGGCGAGTTCAGGTTGGGAATCTTAGGACTGATGGGTCACTGAAGGAGAGGAACAGGATCCTGGCGAAAGCCATGGGCTTTAATGAAACAGCCCTGGAGGGGGCTGAAAGCTCAATGTCTCCGAATACATCTCCCAATTCGCCCCGAGCAGGGCCGTTAAGCCGACTGCTTGTGGGCTACGGAGTCAAGGAAGAGGCATGCACCAAACGGGTTTCCGGACGGAGTAACAACTTGGTACTGTCTGTGGTACACCTCTATGTCGTACGGCCGCGGAATCCTCTGAAATCCGCCACTTTCCCCGTAGGCCACAGCTTGGCTTGCAGATGGGGCTCGAGCTTCAAAACGAGCCACAGCTCCTCAGGCATGGAAAATGGCTGGCGCGCACTATCAATGGCTGGCGATGACGGTAGTCCTGGATGGCATCGGCGGCCTCGGGTTTATCTCTTCCCTACGGCGCTGGAGGATGACTGGTGATCAATGGAGGACCGGGTTCTGTGCAGAGAATGGAATGGTCCCCGCTGAGATACCCCAGTCTTCGGCTATACGCAAACTGATTCTGTCGGTCCAAACTTGTGGCTCTTGGTGGCTGTTTTAGTCGATTGGGGCACCGCGGGCCTACCAAATCAGATGCCGAAGGAAATGGCTCCTTGACGCTTATGCCGAAGGCTGATTCTCAGCCTCAGCTAGTGCCAATATTTGATAGCCGCGTAGAGCTTAGGTATTTTAGTGCGCATTCGCCATGCCAACGACTCAACGAAGGCTTCGCAGTTCGTCATTCTGAAGTACAGTCAACTCCTTCTAAATCCGCAGGGCCACTCAGCTTACCTACATCTCAAGCTTCAGGTCGGTTACTCAGCCTATGAATTCTGGGCCGGTCAATCCGTCAGTGTTGGTGTCTTCTGGCGACTTCCTTGGTTATTGAGTATGGATAACTCCGTTTATCTTGGTGCTTGGACAAACTGGGGTGAGTGCAGCGTGTCTCTCACCGGCAGTCTGAGAGATATAAACTGACCGTACACTTGCCGTTATCACCGGCAGAATACGGAAAGGTGCACGGCCTGACTCTCACACTCGACCAACCCTGGCGCGATGTGCTCATCGCCGCCATTGCCCTGGTCATCACTTTCACGGGTACACAGATATGGGGGGTCATTTGCTTCCTTGCGTTTCGATTCCGACAGTTAGCCACCGGCGACCACATCTACCACTATGTCCAGGCGACTTTGCGCAACTCGAGCAGCAGTCCGACGTCTTTCGCATTGAGACTGATAGAGATTGCATGGTCCCAACGGCCCCATGACTTAACCGCTGCTTCCTCCGCGGCGACGGGCTTGATGCAGGACTTCAGCGGTGCTGCCAATGCGGACCCTAAGCACCCGCAACACAGTGTCGGCGTAAGGCAGACAAAACAAAGGATTCCGGGAGCATTTGGTGCAACCCTTGTCCGTCTTTCCAGTCTCCTGGCCCTCGCCGTGGGATTCTCGGCGGGCTTCACTGCCATCAGTTTGCTCGGCGTCCAGTTCTTCAAGGCAGCGGACGATTCAGCCCTGATCACGAGTCCGTACTGCGGCTGGCCCGCCGAAGTGAGCGACACGACCGATCGCTCTACGCCTGAAGCCAGAGAGGCGAGCTTCCTGCTGATGGTGCCCAGCCGTGCCCAATACAAGGGGGCTCGTGCCTACGCGAGGGGCTGCTACGCCGAAACAGCTGACGGCGAGGTTGCGAAACAGTGCGACGCATCTGTAGCGCCGCGGATCGCTTCCACTCTGACGGTGGACGAAACGTGCCCCTTCCCTGGGGCCGGGGTCTGCAAGACGGGCTCGGTGTCTATCGAGTCTGCCCGCATCGACTCGCGAAGCACGCTCGGCATCAACACTCCTGATGAAGATAGGGTGGCGGTAAAAAAGAGCTTGACTTGCGCGCCCATCAACGCGGACCAGTGGGCAACTGGATGGATCGACGGAGCTGAGTTTGGTTATGTCGGGGGCGACCGCATCCAGGGGTATGCGGTTGGCACGGTGCCTGACGAGCAACCGCCAAAGTCCGAGTACCCTTTCGTCGCCACTACGTACTCGGAGCGTTTCGCGACGTCGCCCTACCCGCTCACGTCAGTGCCCTCTCCTCCAGACCGTAAGCACTTACATAGCTAACACTATCAATTGGTAGGTGGAGGGTTAATATGCCCGGAAACGACAGCGCTTTGGTCTCGACGTTCAGACCTCGTGATGAGCTTAAAGTCGAGGATGCCGACTTGACGTTGATTGCGCTGACTGCGGCAGTGATCTTCGATCAGGAAGTTCCGGACCCTTGGTTCAACATCACCGTTCGTCAGCGCGGAGGGTTGTCAGGCGGTGATGCTTGGGCTGCGCCATGGGGGTTCTCGATTCTAGGCTGTTTGGAAAGCTACCAGTTCTGCGCTGCGGGATTCTGCTCTCAGCCTGGAGCGCTCTATCAGCTTCGCGCATCACCGACATACGGCTTGCGCAGCCTAAATCCTCGCCAGAAAGCCGTTGCGGATCTGGTGTGGAAGTCGCTATGGGCTGCCCAACTACAGTACGCGATGATATTCATGGCCAACGAGATTCTCGTCGCCAACGAACTGGTCATGGGCAACTGGTACTTCCGCTCCTCCAGCATGCCGAGTGACCAGTGGACCGTCGAGGCCTGGAATTTCGCCAACATCTCGTTCGCGGCACTCCAGCGACGACCAGGGGACTATGCTTCCCCCGCCGCGGTTCTCCGCGAGGATCCAAGTCGAATCGTATCGCCTGACACGGGTGAGGCACGGGAACTCTGCCGGCAGATCAGAGTCCGCACGACGAAGTACACTTCTTTTCGGGTTTTGAGTCTGGCGCTGCTCGCCGGCGTAACGGTTATCATGGCAGCTTTGAATGGCATTTTGCCCTACTACTTCTCGAAAACATCGAACCGTGGCGGTGGGAAGCACGAAGCCACGGAATGGGACGGGTACGGCATCTTCCATCTCATCCGGTCGGTGTGCGAGGCGCGAGGCATAGGAACATGGGACCGCCGAGAAGAGACTGTCCCTGTCATGCGAGAGAAAGATCGCCAATTCTCGCTTCATGCCGGGTTTGAGTACGCCTGTTGATGCGAGCCAGGGGTATGGATGCCAGGAGATTGGAGGCGTTTTCTACACGCAGTGACTTTTAAAGACACAAACACCAGGTGTTTCTTTCGCTGAGTTGGGTATCGTACATTATAAGCGAGTTGCGCACTAGCCATCGCGACGCATTCTCTTTACACTCAACATTATTTTCCTCCACAACCCATCATACGGGCTACTTCAAAAGAAGCGAGGGTAATCCTAGCCCTCGAAGCTCTTCAAAATAATGAGCGTTTAAGCGTCAGGGTAGCAGCAAAGCTCTACAATGTTCCACAATCAGCCCTCAACGACCGACGCGCTGGCCGGCCTACACGACGCGACACCCTCCCAAATCGAAGAAGCTTACCCAAGTAGAAGAGAATAATAATGTCCAATACGTTGTTAAATTATATACACGAAGAGAGGTGGCTCAAGGAACGAGACGGCCGGAGAGCAACGAGGCCCGCAGATGACCTTGACCACCAGCACGAGACTCTGTTCCAAGACAAAACCCTAAGGAGACACGACGGCCTCAGCAGAGCGAAGAGTTCACTGTTGATCCAAATTCGAACCGGGGCCATAGGCCTTCGGGCGTTCCTATTCGAAAGGAGAGTCCCAGAGGTACTGACGCCTATATGCGAGTGTGGAGAGGGGCGAGAGACTGTCGAACACCTTGTGATGTGGTGCTTGGCCCCACCGTTGACTCGAAGATGGGAGAGAGCCGA